ATCCTGCAAAGAGCGCGTGCGCAGTGCCTGGGGCCTTTTCGCTGAAATCAGATCTCAATGTATCTTTGATATTTCGGTTACGGGGCTGATGATGAAAAACGGAGGATACAAGACCCCAACATATCCCATGGATATCCTTCGATTATATATCATGATATATCAATGTTTGATATTTATTACAGTATGTTTATACTTCATGATCATTTTTCCGTTGCAAGACTGTGGTTATGGGCGCGCTCTGTGCCTCATTGTCAGACCAATGCTAGCCATTCGATGCATAGGCCACGGCCGGGTACACCAGGATGACCATTCTGGAGCATGAAAGAGGTCCTCAACATTTGGAGCCACCCAAGATTTGTCCTCCATGCTGTCATGAACTGTCATGTTATGTATATATATATAAAGTTGTATAATGTACATATAATCACATGATATATATATATATATATTTATTTTTTTTTTTATTTAATTATTTATTTATATGTTATCATGGTATTTATATTTTAGTTAATATTATATAATAAGTGTATGTATATATTATTTAATAAGTGTAGTTATATATATATATAACTATATGTATATATGTGATAAGTTGCACATAATATTGTTCACATGCCTTTCTTAGTATAATTATATAATGTGTGTGTAATATAGGACAACCTTCATCAACGTACCAACTCTGGGTAGCCATAAGACTTGGACCTCTGACCACGAAGTTTGATCCCCAACTGTTTGATGGGGTTGCCCCATCTTCAGCTCAGATGTTAATCGCTTGCGGTGACTTCTGTTTGGAGATTGAACGCATGTTTTGGATAGAAAAGTTGTTCCAATTGTTGGAACCACTTGTTGGAACAGAAAAGTTGTTCTTTCCTATTTTGAACCTGGTGCAATCTTGTGCCGATCATGTCATTGCCCACGGCCACGACCGACCTGTGGAAGTTTGCTCCCTTCACACAGCTTTCAGGCGTTGCGTTCAGTATCCCCATTTTGCGGGAACCGCTGAGAAACCCAGCGTCGAAAAAGATTCAACAAAGTGTGGCGGCATCGCTGGGTAGGCCAAAGTTGAGTCGGAGAGGGAGGCTATTATTTTCGCTTTAAACGTGCCTGCCTAAGCTATAAATGAACGAATATGTTAAGCATCCGAAAATCAAGTTTGTTTGCAAGACCATCAGCACATCCAACACCACAAATTGGTATCCAAAGCAAAGATGGTTGTGATTTCTGGTTGCTCCATTTGCCAATGGGAAGGGTTTCAAAGCTGCACATTGCAGATTTGGGTTAACAAAATTGTGGACAGGGAGATTTCTGTTGACAGGACCCACATTTGCATACATTTGCTATATCAGCTCATTACAGATGTTGATATATGTTGATATATGTTGATATTGGCTCTTAACTGTTCTTAGTTGATGAGCTGTTTTGTCTTGGGACCTTGGGACCTTGGGACCTTGGGACCTTGGGACCTTGGGATGGCTTGACCCAGCATATCCCTCCGAGGATTGGCTTCAGCTGCTGAGTCCTTCAGCTGCTGAGTTCTGCTCGTGGCTTGGCGATGTCTTTGGAGATGCAGATGTGCGGGCTGGACTCAACGGGCTGGAAAAAAATGGAACCATGCAGATCATCTATGATTCTCCATTATCAAAACATCATCTACAGTTATGATTATCAATTGTATGGGGAATCACATGGTTTTATGATGTGCTATCTATGATTCCCACTCAGGAGCAGTAATCACTGTTTCTATCTATGATTATCCACTGGGGGACTCATCTTCGTGGCTGTCTCCAACGTGACTCCAGGTCAAAACCATCCTGTCTTTGAGGCGGGTGATGGCAATGATGCCGTCAAATAATGCCTCGATTTTTTTCGTAAATAATGATGTTCAAGGGGCTGGTTACATGACAATCATGTTTTTTTAAATAACATATATGTGTTACAAGTTACAAGTACCTCGCGGTTTTTCGGGAGGTAGCTGTGTTAGGTGGTTCTGACGCTGATGAAACTGATCGATGGATTGAAAGATGCGTCATTTCCATGATCAGCCTAGTGTACTGTGGTACTATAGTATTTTTCGATGGGTTTCAATCTCTTAAGTAGAAAATTACGTTCTGATAAAAACGCTCACGAGAGTAGGAAACCCTTGAACTGGCCATGTCAATGTGTTCCTTTCGAGGGCACCATGTGCCACTCCTTTTGGGATATCAGATGTTTCCCTCTTAGTGCCTCAAGGAATCATATGGGCGGGGTTTCCCAAAACATCTACCCCAAAATCATCCACTTCATGGCTCATTAGTAGCGAAACCAATTGTTTTGGGGGTCCCCCAATTGCCAAGTGAAGCTACGTGTGTCACCAGGCAATAAGGTGGCTGGATCCATGTGTCACAGCTGGAGAAGTGTGGTGGGAGAATGGTGGGTTTCCTCCAAGCTATGGCACTTTTCAGGATCATATGGATCATGTTTTAAACCAACACCCAATTTTCGGAAAACATCTTCCGGAACATAATAGAGGCCAAAGCCAAAGCACATCCCTTCCCATCATGATCAAGTTGGAGTTAGCCACAAAAATGTGGGACCTTCCAAATTGGAGGGAAGCAGATTGAGGGTCATTATTTCATTTTACCCAAGTGCTTTTCATTGGTTGCGATGTCTTTGATCATGGCAGCCTTTTTCAGCAGCCAGATGTTTATCATGTTGGCTTGGGGGATCACCGATCCCATGCCCCCCCATCAACTGACCATGATTGCTCCGGAAATCAAACATGGCAATGCGAAACCCTCTGGGAAAAACATCTAGGAATTATAAACGAATGATTTTCTATTGCAATGTTTCATTACCAGCAAGTACCGCAAATCATTGATTTCTGCAGTGACCACATGGTCTCTTTTTCCACATAGGTGAATGATGGTGAATGCGCCCATATGTTTCGGACATTTTCTTGCCTCGTCCATGCGCTGCATGTTCACCTACAAGATTGAAAGATTTGACATGCCTTCCATGTCAATCTACGCCAGACATTGACACTAACGTCAACCGCTGATTATATAATCAACCCTGGTTGATCAACAAGCGGGTTCCCCCTTAAACGCGACAATTTAAAGTTGACTTCGACATATTTCATACTTGGAAAGGTAGCCCCTGAATTATTTGGCCTAGAGGTTGGCATTAATCTGAGTTTGGCATTGTTTATGTTGCCATTAATGTGGTCAACAATGGTAAACACAGTAATAGACTTTCATAAACCATCCCCAAGATAGAGTTTTTATGGGTTTTTGCAGGATATGTCCATCATTACAGCGAGCTGCTTGGGTCCTGTGATGTTTTACCTAAGGTGGAGAGTGCTGAACTCGGTGTGTGCGCGTCGATGCTTACAGGGCTGCAAACAGTTGGTACCCTCAGGCATCATCGGCAATAGAACCCCATGAAAATCCTATATAAATGCTGGCTTTAATGGGCAGTTCATCTTTAAATGATGGATTGTCCATTTTTCCACGTTTGATTACTGATTACTAGATGGTAATGGACTTTGCAACTGCAAAGCAACAAGTCAGATTGGGTGGTGTATCCAAAAGTTGGTTTGTCCATCGGATATGTTGACGTCTCAACATTGATTATGTTGTTTTCTTTTTTCCGGAATATGATGCAATTCTGTCGGTATGCTCCTTTTGTTGGGCCGGTTGCCGAATGGATGGCTCACAGGTTGATACAAAAAGTTCGGATGTTTCCCTAGGCTGCCATGCGAGTATCAATCCTGGTGCCATTTTGCGCCCTATTTGCCAGGGGCCCTTGCCCGGTGTTTGGATGTTGGTGGAATTGGAGTGTGCAGCCTCGGATCAGGGAGAGGATACCCGAAAAACAGTTGAATGGGTGCATATGATATACATTGATTTACTAACTCGCTGGACAGGAACAAACCAACACATCACGAATTGGCCGTGCTTAAGTATACCGATAAGGAAGAGAACAACAAGGTTTTGTAGGTTTCATGACTGCAACATCTGAGATATCCATGGTTTGGAGCATGATTGATGCATGATGTACAGTAACCGGCACGCTTTGTCAGCAAATCCTGCAGGCTCATTTCAACTGGGCTAGGGATCTACCGGGAGTTGCTGGGCTCATTTCCAACACCTCCGGTTGAATCTCAAGCGTGTTGTATGTTGAAAGTTGAAAGTGGATGAAAAATGATGATTATTCAATCTCTGAATGCTTGGAATATCTCGAAACATCTCGAACATCTTGAAATCATAAAATCACGGGTCATGTGAAAGCCATGGGATATACATGGGCACAACGCCTGAATGGGACGCCACCAGTCAGCGCAGTCTTTCGTAGCTGTTTGGCTACAGAGCTCTTGATTTGTTGAGTTGGCTCAGAGGAACAAGATACCTTCTGTGTTACCTAGCTATATAGATGGAGATTTGCATATTTAAAAATGGATAAACAATGTTTTTAAGATATTTTCCATTACAGCATTGCTATTGAACATGGCCCATCTATTTTGATGAGTTACCATGATTTATCTATATTAAACGTGGTGATGTTTAATAGCTACGCAACAAATTCCCAGAGGGCAAAATGGTACAAAGAGATAGCCCTTCCAACTATTTTCAAACTTGGATTCCCAGCCGGAAGACGAGCGCTTGCAGTGCACTGACAGTGCATGGCTGGTGGGGAGGATATCCAACCTATCCGAAGCCTAGTGACCAATTTCCATTGGGATTGTAACTTCGCAAAACTCAGGGTTGGTTGGTAACCCCTATAGCTGCAGGAAGACACATCTACTAATGCTGCATGAATTTCGCAAAGCGCAACTTAGAACTGTGCAGTCGACATGAAGCTGGACATTGTGAAACCAAACTGAGGGATTGGAGGTCTCCCCCATTTAGATACGGCAAAGTCATTGGAAAATTTACAGGAACCCCCAAAAAAGATTGGGAAAAACCAGCCAGTCTCTGGTTAAGATGTTCCCTTCAACCAATCCAGTGACACATCATTTCATCATGGCAGCGGCAGCTACCACGGCAGCGGCTCAGCCACCACGTGCGCTGCTGAGACTCTTGGGTTTCTCGCCATGATCCGGGAAGCCAGGTCCAGCCGTCCAGGTGGAGCTGTAGTCATCATGATTGATCATCATTTATCGACATGGCTGGTGGTTTTTCTTTGTGTAAATAAATGATTTTATAAAGATATATTAAACACAAAATGTGTTTTTTTACAAAGATATATGATCTAACCAATATATCATTTAGCCAATGTAAAATGTGTTGTTTTTTAATAAATGATTGTGGTTAGATCATGTTAGATCGATCGTAGCTGGGGGTTGCATCCAATATCATCCAATTATGAACGGGATATCCAGTTGGCAGGATGGGTTCACAACCCGAGTATAGTGTCAAAGTCTCATTAATCCGTAAGAATCCCTGATCTCTTCATGACCTCGTGATCCAAGAAATTCCACTAAACAAAAGGGTCCCCTTAAAATAAATGACGAACGGTGTTTCCAGCATGTGAATTAGATGTAACCACGGTGTCAACCACCATCCCATAGGATCCATGTATGGTATATATTAGTATATATGCTAACATTTGGGGTATATTGATGGTAAATTATGGTAAATGTTACCATATATGGCATACATGAATCCTATGGGCATAGCTTTGAGGTGTTTCTATCTGTTCGGCATCTTCCTTGGGGGGAACTCCCCGCGGCCTCGTCAAGGCTTCGCCTGTTTGGTCAGCGGCAAAGATCCGCACAGGCCTCAGGTGTTCGTAGATGGCGTTACTTTCCTGCGGAAAAATGTAGAGATGGCAATAAAAAAGACTATGGGAATCCATGGGACACACATATACACACACACATACTGTATATATATACATATATACATATCATACATGCATATATATATATAATTATATATATACACACCACAAGGATTCAAGGAGTATGAAATGATTGAACAGATAGATGTTTGTCACTCTTTGTGGTTGTTTTACGATGGGGGTAGTTTATACTATGTTATACAACCCATTTATGATCATTTATGTGTATTTTCTGGATTGTTTATCATTGAGTTTACCACATTACATCCCCATGATTTTCCCCAAAATGGTGATACGCTTAAATTACCTTAAATTCCTATGCTATACGTATAATATATGACTTATATCCTATTAAATTCCCATATGTTCCCATTATCAAACGAAAGCAAAAAAAATGGGTCGTTCGAGGCCTTGCCCAGAGGATGCCACTGTGATGAGCTGTTCCGAACCTTGACAGCTGCGCAGGGGACTTCAGATATCGATCTCACCAACTGGCGATGTTACCATCAGCAACTGGCTTTTCCAGTAACAAAAATGATGGTTTAACCGTTTAACCTCAGAAAAATGACAGTTCTTTTCCAGCAAGGACTGGAAATTTGGCAGTAAGTGTGTACAGTAGCAACATAGGTGATTTAAACACAGTAAATGGGGATTGTATTTTTAAAAATGGTAGGGGAAAAACAACTTATGTGGTTTCACGATTTAAAAGTTTGATTTTGAAAACACAACAGTTGATTTTACTACCACACGGTGGAGTTTATGTTGATTCGAACCAGAAACATGAAAAAGAAAACACATACTGTATGTATCATTTATTAGTCTCTTAATCCTGTCTAATTACACCTCAAAATCCCGGTCAACGAATGCGGAACCGTATTCCGTGCATGACTCCAATAGCTGGCATGAGAATCCTGCCAGGGTCCACCCTTTTTTGCGCTTTCATTGGTTCATGTGTTCGTTGGCAAAGAATTGCTGCATCCTCAATGAAGGTATAGAACCACAAAAAAAACAGAACCCCATGGTTTCTGCTGGTGACCTTCCTTGAAATCCAGCTGTTTTCCCATGGGAAAAGCGATAGCACCAAGGACTGGTGCCGCACAGTCTACCCGGGCTCGCGTGCCACCATGTCCGGCAGCTCCTGTGCCAGGCAACACGAGTGATGGGGGGGTTGCCTGAGGAACCAGAGATTTCTTTGGATTTGGTATGATTTGGTATGGATTTATATATATATATATATATGGATGATGAAACTTTGTGTGGATTTATGTGGATTGAAATGGGTTTAGATTCATGTCTGATCATTTCTGTGGATTTATATTATGGATTTAAGATGGTGTTCGATGATTTATGATAATTTATGATGGTTTATGATCATGTATAATGTTTGAGGATTATGGTAAAATGGCAGCCCTGGATTAGAAGTCCCCGGGTTTTTTTAATGGTACAGTAGAAAATAAATTTGTAATCTTGTTTGGGGTAACCCCCGTAATGGGGTAACCCCCTAATTTATCAACCAGGCGATTTTATTGATTTTGTGTTGACATTTAGATTTGTATCCATAAAACATGATAAGGAATTATATTATACAACATTATATATGTAACACATATTACAAAAATATTCAGCAACTTGCCAGGCCAACACATTCAACACATATAATGAACACTATATATATTTATTATTAGAGCAGTAAATAAACATAAAGCAACATGTTCTTTTTGATTGTCTATCAATTTTCATTTGTGCATGATTATTTGCTCGGGGGTTTCTTAACGATCCAACATCATCCAACGTTGGTCAGTTTGATTGGGTTTTGGAGAACCAATTTTTAAAATATTTTTTTAGGGAAACACCCACGTAAAAGCCGCAAAGCTGGGATACAACATAGAAACAAAAGGATTGTTCAATGGCTTGCAACTACGTTTCCATTTGGGTTGAATTATGGGGATCCCAATGTGCTGATATGAGGTAGGAATCCATGCCCAAACAATAAACAATAAACACAGCAAACGGACCCCATGTTTATTCCCAGTATCCTGGAATGGCTAGCAACTGGATAGCTGAGTTGTAATGAACCCCTTAAATATGGGAAATATGATTGGAAAATATTGGAGATACTGCAGACTTTAGTTTATATTGAGCAAACATGGCACCAATATGTTCCACTACGAACGAGGATAGTGCGCCATTGACCTTGGTTGACGGATGAATGCTGCATGGTGGGTGAATCGCTAAAAATATAGTCATAGTCATGTATGTGTTTGCCACAAGTAGGGAAAATACTATATGATCCATATCATATATGGTTGATTGTGCTTAAACTTAAATTCGAAGTATCTAAGCCCTAACATGGGATAGTTGCCAGCAAAACTTGCCATTAGATGATCCAGATGCCACCAGACTTTCTGGGGTACCCTGCTCAGGCTTTCAGCTCAGGACCAGCAGGGATGATAGGCTGAAATAACAGGCGCAATACTGCATTTTTGAGAGGGGAAATGACGATAAATCATGAGATCTTCGTGTAATTAGCCTATTTGCAGACCAAACCCATATTGGAAAGAACACGAAACTGCGAAAACTTGAGCAATGACTTGATGCGACTAGGCCCTAGGCGACACAGTTTGGCGGTGTTGATGAATTGTAGCAGCCAGATTCCAACCGTCATCAATCACCATGATGTGATTAAATTCCCGATGTCAGCGTATGCTTGGCAGGACATTAAAAAGGGCATGGGCCCGGCTTGCATATGCTGCTCGCTCAAGGAAATTGACATTTGGAGCCTGAAGATAATTCCCAACATGATGTTCACTCCTACCAGTGCCATTGGACATTACTATGCATGTTTGGTGTTTCATCATGCTTCATGTAAAGTTGAATTTTGGAAGCTGCACAGTGCCAGAGCTTGGAACTTATACGTAGTGTTACTATAGTGGCCTTGTTTTATCTTGTTTTGACATGTGGCGCGGGTTCCAAAGCACGGACCACGTGTGACGTGCCCAACAAAATGATACCCTGCTTTCTTCCAACACCCTCTGACATGTATGCCTTGAGTTATACCCACCCCCACCCCACAGTTCCATTCACCAGCATCATCATCACTTGTTTTTTGAACATATGTACTGCCTCAGCAGCATTAAATTTCGCCCCCCAAAACTAATCCAAAAGACACCGAATCGCAGTGACGAAGAAACCCAATCCACTTCCACATTGGTTTCCCTTCAGCCAGACTTGGTGTATCTTGCTGTTGTTCAAACGCTGCATCTCTCAGTTTCGGGGACTTCAGGTTATGACAGCGGCTATGAGAAAGAGCTCAAGAGCTGCAGGTTGATGGTTGAGTGAGCTGAGACACTGAACCCGTTTTGGTAAGTGGTGGGTTGGTGGTGTTTGATGATTAACATGTCAATACATACACACTGTATATACAATTTGATAAAGAAACTCAAGATACATTTCGGAATCGTTGAATGGCCTAAGGTGTGATATTTAATTCCTGTTTCTAAGCTGGTCAAAGGTTTAAAGCGCTTTGAAGGCAAACCAACTCGGCAGCTGCTTGGCCGTATGCTATTGAAATAGTTGTCCCCGATTCAACGGCTACTCTCTTGATCTCTCTTGTAAGTTGACATTGTGACAAACCCGTGGAAAATGACCCATGACCATATAGAAGATTTATATACCGATTAAACATGGCAACCTTCCATGGCAACTGTTGGCTTACCAGAGGCCTCATGTTTAAAAACCCATGGTACCCAACTCCACCCCCAAATGTGGCTAGTTGATAAGGAATCCCATAACATATTCTAATAGGCCATGATAATCCCCAGTAATCCCCAGTATATTTCGTAAATATAGACGCTACATAATATTATACAACATCATATTTTAACAGTATACGACAATATACGACAATATGTAACACAATATAGAACTCTTTAAATTAACATTCTAAAATATAACACAAACACAAACACACAAACATATATTATATATATATAACATTATACAACACATAATTTATATGTATATATCATATCTCTGTAACATCTTATAATATTATAACCCCTGGAGCTAATGTGGTACACCAACCTTTGATCTTCCAGGTCGAAGTGCCCGGTCGAGGAAGACCCTGCCGAAGCCTTGGGCGCCGACGACGCCGAGGGCGGCACATGCTTTGGAAGCACCGGACGCTGGGTCGATAGGGAACTGCCAGGGATAGGGATGTGAAGGGTGGGCCTGAAGATGTTCAAGGTGTTTTTTGATGTTCTTTTTGGTGATTTTGATTGATTTTAGGGAGAATATCTAGGAATATGTTTGCCGGATGTGCTCCAAATATCTTGTTAGAATGTGTTTGAACCATTTTGAACCCCCAAAAACCAGTATCTGTTTCATAAAACGGAGTGCCAAGAAAATCAAGAAAACTTTTTGAACATGGCCAACCAAAATAAGAGGATGATGTTAGCCACTTGTTTTTTGGTGGGGCGTGTCATTTAGTAAACAGTCAGCACAACTCAAAACGGATCATGATCGATGTGTACATGACGTAATTGCTAAATATGAATATGGTGATTTTGGAACCAACCACTCTAAATTACCTGAGGGTAAATGACTTGTTGGGGCAGAAATATGAGATTCTCACATGTGTCACATGGCGGATATCATTGACCAGTCCAACATGGGGATGCAACCAATTTTTCAGGCCTACCAGGGATAGAACCAGCCAAACGCGATCGATATGATATGATGATATGATATTATCCATTTTCACTATGTAGATCTATTACACACCTATACCCAGTTTTTTTTTTATATGACCAACAAACATGGGAGTACAAGGACCCAACATAAATGACATGTACATATATATATATATATATATTACATTACAGTATGTATATATATATATACAATATGTATTATATAATTAGTTATAACTTAACCCACCAAAGATGATGGCACAAGTTGGCAGAAGTTGCACAAGCCCTCAGGACGAGACACGTGTCGTGCTGATCAACTGACCGATGAGTGGGGGAACCTAACGAAATTAACGAAGCTGTCGGTACCAGACGCCTCCTGTAGCCCATGTGTTCCAGGCAAAATTCAAAGGCATAGGGGATTGCACTGAAAGCTGGCTAAGCTGGCTCACAGCTGTGTTGCAAAAGTCCAGATCGTACGATTCAGTTCTCAAAAGAAGCGCGCAAATTCAGTAGTATTTGCCGAGCTTTATGCTCACAACCAAGTGTTCAACGCTCGAAACTTCACGAGCCAATCAGAAAATCAGCCTGACGTTTGTGTTCGAGTGGCGTAATTATTTCCTTGCTAAATCATGCTAAACATCAGCTGGGTATTGTTTTTCTTGCCATGCCAATTTAGACTAGAGACTTCTCCAATTCCACAACCTGCAGCGCGTGTCCCAACAAGGTGGTGGCCTCTAGTCAGTAGTTGGTTTATAGCTGATATAAGTAGCATATATATATATATATATGCATGTATGGATTTTGGTGATAACAACCTTTCTTTTGGAGCTAGAACAAACCAGCTTAGCTCACTATGGTGCACCACATTTCCCAAGGTCTGAAAGATACCTTCTCTATGATGTGAAGCCCGGCGAGGGCTTCAACCTGCAGCGGGAGGTGTTTCCTCGCGTGGGCTGGATAGCAACTTGGCTGTAAGATATGAGTCACACAGATTGAAAGGAGTTGAAAGTCTGATCTAATGGGTTATGTATGGGTTATGAAATGTTATGAACCAGTTACCAAGTGGGATACACATCAAAGTCTGCATGATATTGCATGGGGATGGATCACCAATCAACTCGGGATGAACCAGAGGCCAGCAATTGATGTGAATGCCCGGTCGTATGGGGAAATCTGAAATCTTGAGAGGCATAGCGGCATATCTACAACCTATACAGGAGGCTTTTTTTACGTTTTGAGTTTCTCAAGATTAGAGATCCAAGGGATGAGTTTGAACATGGACCAAATACCCTCTGGTAAACTAACATAACTATGGAAAATCACAATTTTTAATGGGAAAATCCACTATAATGGCCATTTTCAATAGCTATGATTACCAGAGGGTAAACATAAATAAACAACATGAACATCATGAACAGTCCATCGATGGTCATCGCCCGAACGGCCCGAGCCCCGGAGGTGGCCCAGTTGAATGCGCGGTGCAGTGGAGACCGCTGCCCTCGGTGGACTTTGGTGTTACCACCTTGGTGTAGGCAGCGGAGTGGGGGACAGCAAAGTCTCAGAGCAGATTGATCTAGAAATATCTAAAAATGCTGTTAGCATCTGATCCATCTGGTTATATCTGGTTATGACTAACAGTGACTAACAGTTCGCCATGGAAAGATCCACCATTTTCAGTAGCTAAACCATATCTATAAATGGGTCATGTTCCATGGCTATGTTAAATAACCAGAAGGTAGACATATTTAGAGTTGGTTGCTGATGAATAGACCATATGCATCAATATGCATCAATATGCCATAATATGCCATAATATGCAATATAATGGCCATATGGTGACCATGTGTTGGACATTTTTGAGTTGTACCGATGTCATCCAAGCCGTGCACACGGACATCCAGGACCTGGTGTCACGTCCTTTTTTTGTCAAAGTTAAAGAGTCGGTTTCCTTGACCAAATCTGGAATATCTGGGAATATCTTATCAATTCCATTCAGTTGCTATAAAAATCATATGTTTTTCTCTTTGAAATACGATGAATGGACTGGAAGTAAAAAAATATCAAACCCAGGTTTGATGTTGAACCTGGAGCTAGTTTTCGTGCACCAGGTTGGCTCATTGGCGACGGGCAAGTGAAGAACACGTGTCTTGTTGCTAGAGGCAAGCACTACGGCATTTGATGCTATGGGAAGCTAAAATGATTTCCATGTGATTTCGGGGAATCCCGTAGACTTCCAGTTATTTCCTTTCAAATCTACAGGAGTTGTTCGAGATCCACCTTCGTCACTTCACAAGCGTTGCCATCAGTCTGCCATCTTACGCCTAAACTTTTATATACCATTTGTTGTTCGTGTGGATAAGTCCCAGAAGAGTGGAGTGTTTTGCAATATGGATTTCCTAGCTTCTCATTTTCCATACTGGTCTACATATATATATATTATATATATATAGGCTTAAATTTCCTGAGCTCCTTTGGGACTAGCATCCTGTTGCTGAGCCATCTCCAGCTTTTGAACAGAGTTTGCCAATCTTTTCAAGGTCAAAGTCTCACTTTTTCCGATGGGTTTTGATGATTAAACATGCAAGCTGGTATAGCAACGCTCAAGAAAAAATCCGAAATTGGTGAATCACATTTTGAAATGTTGCCAAAGTTTCCATCCGCATTCGAACATGGCACTGGATATTGTCCCATTTTACAGTAATTTTACAGGTGTTTTTCCGGTTAAAACATATCAACACCGCCATTTCTGGAGTATTTCAGGGAAAAGAAAATGAGGTGCTATATTTTTGAAGTCCTATTATAATAAACTAGTATTCCTTTATTATCCCAATATTTAATCCATTTCAACCATACACGTGGTGTTTAAATCTCCATTATTCATCATTCATCATGAAATCACCTTAAACCCTGTTAAATCTATCAAAACAGCATACATGGTGTTCAAATCCCTCTATATAAATCACCAAACAAATCCATTTAAATGAACATTTAAATCAACATCAATCCCATTAGGGTCAACATGAATCCCATTAAACTCTCTTAAATCCTTTGCACAAACAACACGATGGTCCGCCAGCTCAGGTGCCCTGGGAACATTTCTTCGATGCAAAGGCCTTGCGCTCAACCAACATCACGGTGCTGGAGCGGTTTCCAGGGCTGAAATCATGATAAATCACGTGATTTCTCAGCGGAAATTGGGAGAACACATGGATAGGGATCAGATAGTTTGGGATGAAATTTAACGGTTCAATTTATGAAATTGACCATTTATAATTGGAATACAATATATAGTATTGCACTATATATATGGATATTGATGATTTTTGTTTCATGTTAATTTGGTTGGGGTTTCGATGGGATTTTGTTGGACCATTTGGGGCAAAAAGTTTTGACATTTCGTTCACGTGGACGGTTTCCCAACGAAATGTCAACAACATTCCATCCATTCTGTGGCAACATGTTGTGGCAAAGTGTTTTGCCATAGGCCAAAATCTCGTTAAGTAAACGTCGTTGAGATTCGTCAACATGATTTATCGTCCAAGTCGACCAAATTTCAACGAGTTCCCAATGCATTCTCGGCAAATCGTTCGACGTTTTTCGTAGCACAATGTGTGGCAAAATGGATTGCCGCAAGGATTGCCACATGTTTGTTGTTGTTTTTGTTTACTCTCATTGCCACATCATTGCCACACCTGCCTGTATACCCATGTGTACCACCCTATTGAACATCATGCAGAGTAGAGTTCCATTTCAAACAATAATTAGTGGTTTATAGGTTCAATAATAAGATAAATGAGAATACACAAGCAGGTAATCGTGAGGACAATGAGAAATAGTTGAAGGGAAAATAAGGGAAAGAGCAAAGGCGCGGAGTTTCCAAGGTTTTGACATCACAGAGAAAGGGTCCTGCAGATGTTCCCAAAAACACTGGTGAAACCAATTCCTGAATTAGTCGATGGAGGAATACAATAATAATAATATCCAACTATTTTGATGACTAATTCCATGAAAATTACAATATCCACAGTTATCCAACTTAGTATCAACAAAATGACAACTATTGATTTTGTATGTTTTTTTTTGTCATTTTGTTGATGCTAAGTTGATGTTTGGTGATGGTTTGGTGAAGAGTGACATGTTTTTTTAGATTACCAGGTCACCAGTTTTACCTGATGGATGTGTGGTGGGTTGATTAGGTTGATTGAGTATTTTTTGGCCATGCTGATCAGGAGATGTGGAACGGTAAAAACCACATAGGTCCAGGTATTTATAGCATGGAGAGAGAGAGAGAGAGAGATTTATTTATTTTATCTATTTATTTGTTTATTTATTTGTGGAACCTTCCCATCAAAGGGGATGGTTATTTTTGTTCGGGAATATATATATGTTTTTTTTTTGGATTTTCTGTTTCCCTGCTTCTTTGCTTTTCTGCTTCTCTGCTTTTTTTTCTTTTCTGCTTTTGCCTGCTTCTCTGCTTTTATAGTTCTTTGCTTCTCTGCTTCTCCAGTTTTCTGCTTCTTTGCTTCTTCGCTTCTCCACTGTGCTGCCTCTCTGCTTCTCCGCTTTTCTGTTTCTCCCTGCTTTTCTGCTTTTCCAGCTTCTGTGCTTCTCGGCTTTCTGCGTTTCCCTGCTTCTCTGCTTCTCTGCTTACCCGCTTTTATGTTTCTTTGCTATTCCCTTTTTTTTGTTTCTCATACTGCAGGTAATCTTTGAGAAACATCACACACACATATATAATATATATATGTGTGTGTGTGTAAATAAACAACCCGAAATCAACCATACATAAACACCAAACCAACCAAAGAACCACTAAAACAAATTCTATAAGTAAACCCTAAACACTTCCTAAATAAATGTGAAACCAATCCTAAATAAACCTTACACCAGCCATACATTCATCTTAAACCAGACCTAAATTTTCTTAAACCAACGCTAAACACACCTTAAACCAAGCCTGAATAGGTCCTACATCAACTCTAGATAGATCCTAAACCCAGCCTGGATAAAACGTAAACACACCCTAAACCAGCCCCAAATACTCCAGGTTCAAAGTACATGGCTCAGACCTACTTTTTCAGAGGTGGTTGCGCCATCTATTTAACAGTGATTTTTTTTTAAGGATATGTACCCGAAACAGCAAAAGTGCCCAGAAGATGGCGCAACCCTACATGTGCAAAATGGGCCAAATTGCGCCATCTACCCCATTTTTAATTTAAATCCCTTCTTCCGGGACCGGACATTTCGGTCATCAAAGCGTTGAAAAAATAACGGGGATGTGTGTTCAACAATAGTTTTTCTCGTTTTTTTTTCCACTACTAAATAGATGGCGCAACCCCCTGGGACAGTGCCATCCGTTTGTGTCATGGAGAGATGGCTCAAGTCAAAACACGGAGAGATGGCTCAACACACTGGCAAACCATCTTTGCAGAGCATGTAGGAACACACATTCTGTGTAATGTCAACCCCGGATTAATAAACCATGGTTACTTAATTAGGGGGTACTCCTCCAATAGTCATAATCTGATACTTAGATGGTACCCTCCCAATTAAATAATTTATGTTATTTTTTTCCAAGGTTGACATTAATGTGGGTTGCGCCATCTATAGGTTACCACTGCTTTCCATGTGTAAAGGAAAGGGGATCGGAGAAGCGAAAGGAGAACGGAAAAAGGAGAAAAAGAAAGGGAAAGGAGAAAGCAGAAAGGAAAAAAGGAGAACAAAGAAGGGAAAAGGGAAAGGAGAAAGGGGAAATGTGGAAAGGAGAAAGGGAAGGGGAAATGGAGAAGGGAGAAAAGAGAAGGGGAAAGGGAAGGGAGAAAGGAGAAAGGAGAAAGGAGAAAATGAAAGGGAAAGGAGAAACGGAAAGGAGAAGGGAGAAAGGGAAAGGCAACAGGATTTTTCTTTGGGAAACCATAACTGTGGGTTGCGCCATCTATAGGTTACCACTGCGTTCCATTTGTAAAGGAAAGGGGAAAGGAGGAGGGAAAGGAGAACAGAAAAAGGAGAAAAAGAAAGGGAAAGGAGAAAGGAGAAAGGAAAAAAGGAGAACAAAGAAGGGGAAAGGGAAAGGAGAAAGGGGAAATGGAGAAGAGAAGGGAGAAAGCAGAAAGGAAAAAGGAGAAAATCAAAGGGAAAGGAGAAAGGGAAATGGTACATGATTTTTCTTTGGGAAACCATAACTGTGGATTGCGCCATCTATAGGTTACCACTGCGTTCCATGTGTAAAGGGAAAGGAAAAGGAGGAGGGAAAGGAGAACAGAAAAAGGAGAAAAAGAAAGGGAAAGGAGAAAGGAGAAAGGAAAAAAGGAGAACAATGAAGGGGAAAGGAGAAAGGAGAAAGGGAATTTAGAAAAGAAAGGGGGAAAGGGAAAGCTGAAGGTGAAAGGGGAAAGGGAATGAGAAAGGGAAAGGGACAGTGAAAGGAGGAGGGAAAGGAGAAAGGAGAAAGGAGAAAGGAGAAAGGGAGAAAGGAAAAAAGAAAACGAAAGGGACAGGGATCATGATTTTTCTTTTGGGAACCATAAATAGCTGTGGGTTGCGCCATCTATAGGTTACCAGCGCGTTCCATTTGTAAAGGGAAAGGGAAAGGAGGAGAAAAAGAAAGTGAAAGGGAAAGGAGAAAGGAAAAGGGGGAAGGGAATGAGAAAGGGAACGGGGAAAGGAGAAATGGGGAAAGGAGAAAGGGAAAGGGGACAGGGAAATGAGAAGGGAAACGGAAAAAGGGAAAGGGACATTGAAAGGAGGAGGGAAAGGAGAAAGGAGAAAGGGAAAGGGACAGGCAACAGGATTTATTTTTTTCGGGGGAAACCATAACTGTGGATTGCGCCATCTATAGGTTACCACTGCGTTCCATGTGTAAAGGGAAAGGAAAAGGAGGAGGAAAAGGAGAAAGGAAACAGGAGAAAAAGAAAGGGCAAGGAGAAAGGAAGAAAGGAGAACAATGAAGGAGAAAGGAGAAAGGAAAGGGAATTGAGAAAAGGAAGGGGGAAAGGGAACACTGAAGGTGAAAGGGGGCAGGGAATGAGAAAGGAAAAGGGGAGAGGAGAAAGGGAAGGGGAAAGGGAAGGGGAAAGGGAAAGGAGAAAGGGAAAGGGACAGTGAAAGGAGGAGGGAAAGGAGAAAGGAGAAAGGAGAAAACGAAACGGACAGGGATCAGGGCTTTTCTTCGGGAAATCATGACTGTCGGTTGCGCCATCTATAGGTTACCGAACCGTTCCATTTGTAAAGGTAAAGGGAAAGGAGGAGGGAAAAGAGAAAGGAAAAAGGAGAAAAAGAAAGGGAAAAGGACAAAGGGACAGGAGAAAGGAAAAGGGGGAAGGGAATGAGAAAGGGAAAGGAGAAAGGAGAAAGGGGAAAGGGAAAGGACAAGGGAAAAGGAAAAAGGGACAGGGACATTGAAAGGAGGAGAGAAAGGAGAAAACGAAAGGGAGGCAACAGGATTTTTCTTTGGGAAACCATAAATAGCTGTGGGTTGAGCCATCTATAGGTTACCAGCGCGTTCCATTTGTAAAGGGAAAGGGAAAGGAGGAGAAAAAGAAAGTGAAAGGGAAAGGAGAAAGGAAAAGGGGGAAGGGAATGAGAAAGGGAACGGGGAAAGGAGAAATGGGGAAAGGAGAAAGGGAAAGGGGACAGGGAAATGAGAAGGGAAAAGGAAAAAGGGAAAGGGACATTGAAAGGAGGAGGGAAAGGAGAAAGGAGAAAGGGAAAGGGACAGGCAACAGGATTTTTTTTTTCGGGGGAAACCATAACTGTGGATTGCGCCATCTATAGGTTACCACTGCGTTCCATGTGTAAAGGGAAAGGAAAAGGAGGAGGAAAAGGAGAAAGGAAACAGGAGAAAAAGAAAGGGCAAGGAGAAAGGAAGAAAGGAGAACAATGAAGGAGAAAGGAGAAAGGGAAAGGGAAAGGAGAAAGGAGAAAGGGAAAGGGAATTGAGAAAAGGAAGGGGGAAAAGGAAAGCTGAAGGTGAAAGAGGGAAGGGAATGAGACAGGGAACGGAGGAAGGAGAAAGGGGAATTTAAGGGCAAAGGGAGAGGAGAAGGGAAATGGAGGCTTGGAAACTTTGGACTTAAGAATCCTTGCATAGATGGCGCAACCCTGAAACATTTTCTGGCATAGATGGCGCGGCCCACAAAAATAACGGGGATGGATGTCACGCCCTTTTCGGGAGTCAAAATTCAAAAAGTCGGCGCCATCTATACGCGCACTTTGGAAGAGGGCGGAGCCATCTACCTTGAAAAAGGTGTAGATGCTCACCCAAGCCCATATAAACCGTAAACCAAACCCAAATAGATCCGAAAAACCAACCGTCAACAAACTTCAAGCCAACATAAACCAAAACTAAATAGGTCCGAAACCAACCATAAATAGATCTTAAACCGAGCCTAAATAAAACTTAAAACACCCCTAAAAAGATCCGAAACTAACCCTTAAAAAATCGAAATAAACCCTAACTCTAAAACCAACCCTTAAAAGAAACTTAAAACGAATCCCCCATGTATAGCTCACTATAAAGTGGACATCCTTTGCGCTTATAAAGTGGGTTTCCGGTCGCCACTTTATATACCGACAATGGGGGATAAAGCCGTGTTTTGCGCGAGAAACATGCCCTTGGACCTGGAAGATGACTTTATAGCAACGTTGGCTTTCCAGTTTATACCCGGCTGGTTCCCCACAAGGAAACGACTCAATATATGCGGCAATGCATTTTATAGACCGTTGGTTCCCTTCAAAGAATGGCCATAATATGTCACACCATCCACTTTATAGAAACATGTCTCCCCAATGATTTCGGGCCAATATCTTTCTGTTGGGGCTGTATACATGGCAAAGCACTTTATAGAGTGAAACTTGCCCTTTAAGAAGAAGAAGTTGTGCTGCATCCAGGGCACTTTATAGAAAGAAAATTGTGGCAGAGCATTTTATAGAGTCATGGGATACATCACCCAAATCACTTTATAGAGCTGCCCAGGACCCCATTCACCCTGAGGACCCCTTTCAAGGGAAATCTTCTTCTCTATAAAGTGGCCAGTCCAGGTAAAACCCCTGAAAAAACAGAATCTATGTTGGACTGGCCACTTTATACCCCCTCCCCCAACAGAGAATGCCTCTATAAAGTGGCCAGTCCAGGTAAAACCCCTGAAAAAACAGAATCTATGTTGGACTGGCCACTTTATACCCCCTCCCCCAACAGAGAATGCCTCTATAAAGTGGCCAGTCCAGGTAAAACCCCTGAAAAAACAGAATCTATGTTGGACTGGCCACTTTATACCCCCTCCCCCAACAGAGAATGCCTCTATAAAGTGGCCAGTCCAGGTAAAACCCCTGAAAAAAAGAATCTATGTTGGACTGGCCACTTTATACCCCCTCCCCCAACAGAGAATGCCTCTATAAAGTGGCCAGTCCAGGTAAAACCCCTGAAAAAACAGAATCTATGTTGGACTGGCCACTTTATACCCCCTCCCCCAACAGAGAATGCCTCTATAAAGTGGCCAGTCCAAGTAAAACCCCTGAAAAAACACATTTTTACCTGGAATGGCCACTTTATACCCCCTCCCCCAACAGAGAATGCCTCTATAAAGTGGCCAGTCCAGGTAAAACCCTTGAAAAAACACATTTTTACCTGGAATGGCCACTTTATACCCCAGCCAGTGGGCTCCAGGACTTTGACCCGGAAACGGAAGGACTGACAACAAGGTAAAAGGGGGAAAACTACAACGGAGAGGTACAACGGGAAGGCTACCACAAGAAAATGAGACATGTCACGTTTATATACGTTTATTGTTTTCAATGTGTCATATAGATTGGCGATGATTGGTATATTGAATATGTTGTAGCTGTATTTTGGAACATATGTATACCTATGATTCACACATCAATATAAATATATATAAATCATAAACACATGCCAAACCAAAAACTTTTAGCTGAGTATTGTATTCCCAATCTGTTGGCAAATGTCCAGCCGATTCACCATGCGTGACCCAACAAGATTCAAACTATGGATTGTTTACTTTTGAAAAAAAAATACTGGGTGAATCTACGTATATCTATGACGACAATCTCCCAAAATCATCCTAAAAATCTATGGACATCTATGGACCAAAACCACGGCCACATGCCCATCCTCTATAAAATGGTTTGCAAGAAAGTTCAGCTCTATAAAGTGGCTTGATCACGTCATTTCTGGCAGCCCCACCCTCTGTATAAACTGGCCGGTCCATGCCCATCCTCTATAAAATTGTTTGCAAGAACCAGTAAAAAATATTTTCGAAAGTAAACAATCCATAGTTTGAATCTTGTTGGGTCACGCATGGTGAATCGGCTGGACATTTGCCAACAGATACAATACTCAGCTAAAAGTTTTTGGTTTGGCATGTGTTTATGATTTATATATATTTATATTGATGTGTGAATCATAGGTATACATATGTTCCAAAATACATCTACAACATATTCAATATACCAATCATCGCCAATCTATATGACACATTGAAAACAATAAACGTATATAAACGTGACATGTCTCATTTTCTTGTGGTAGCCTTCCCGTTGTACCTCTCCGTTGTAGTTTTCCCCCTTTACCTTGTTGTCAGTCCTTCCGTTTCCGGGTCAAAGTCCTGGAGCCCACTGGCTGGGGTATAAAGTGGCCATTCCAGGTAAAAATGTGTTTTTTCAGGGGTTTTACCTGGACTGGCCACTTTATAGAGGCATTCTCTGTTGGGGGAGGGGGTATAAAGTGGCCATTCCAACATAGATTCTGTTTTTTCAGGGGTTTTACCTGGACTGGCCACTTTATAGAGGCATTCTCTGTTGGGGGAGGGGGTATAAAGTGGCCAGTCCAACATAGATTCTGTTTTTTCAGGGTTTTTACCTGGACTGGCCACTTTATAGAGGCATTCTCTGTTGGGGGAGGGGGTATAAAGTGGCCAGTCCAACATAGATTCTGTTTTTTCAGGGGTTTTACCTGGACTGGCCACTTTATAGAGGCATTCTCTGTTGGGGGAAGGGGGTATAAAGTGGCCAGTCCAACATAGATTCTGTTTTTTCAGGGGTTTTACCTGGACTGGCCACTTTATAGAGAAGAAGATTTCCCTTGAAAAATTCCTCAGGGTGAATGGGGTCCTGGGCGCGCCGCGCGCGCCAAAAAGGTCTCAAAATTGGAGCCATTTTGGCGCGCGCGCGCGCGGCGCGACCAGGACCCCTTTCACCCCAAGGACCCCTTTCAAAGGAAAGTGTGTTAGAGGCATTCTCTGTTGGGGGAGGGGGTATATAAAGTGGCCAGTCCAAAATAGATTTTGTTTTACCATAGATTCTGTTAACGACTTCGATATAGATATTTGTCTGGCTGTCGGTTTCGTTCGGTTTCGAAGTCATTCGAAGTCTTTTGGGTTCCCCATCGATGAGATCGATGATATTCCCCCAAGGTTTGAACGTGGCCCCTCAACTTTATAGACGATGCTGCCATCGTCGCGATTAAGAAAATCATCGCTACTACAACGATCGTTGTTTAGCCGGAAATCCACATTATAGTGCCACTGTTCTGCACAAGTATTACTATCTGGATGTTCGGCATCTCACTTTATAGTCATGGGACATGTTCACAAGTACCCTCAAAAACCTGCATCGAGTTTTATGTTTTTACGCGGCCAGGCGACTTTATACAAACGTTGGATTTTGACTTTATAGACAAAACATGTTGGCTTTCCACTTTATAGACTCCAGACATGTGGCCATTCCAGTTTATACCAGGCTATTCTCTATAAAGTCGGCCGCAAAGCATCTAGCGGGCTATACATGGGGGATTAAAACGAAACAAAACCCCTAAACACACCCTAAGACCAATCCTAAATGAACCCTAGTTGCAAACTACCATGTTACATGAACAATTCGAGCAACAAAATGTTGCAAATTCCATCGAAAATGAAAGGTTTGAACTCAACAATACTGCAAATACAGTTGAAACGGCAGCTTCCAGCTCAAACATGTTACAAATTCCGCCCAAATGCTGCAAATTCTATGGAAAATGGGAGGTTCCAACCCCAACATGTTGCAAAGACAGTTGAAATGGCAGCTTCCAGCTCCAAAATGCTGCAAATAGCAAGGAAAACGGGCAGAAAAACAGATCCAAAAAACAAATCCCAAAACGGAAAAACATATTTCCCAAAACAATTCTGGACCCAATGGTAAATTAACTAGACTCGACCAAATGGCAAACTAGCCCAAATTGCCCAAATGGTATTTGTCAGTGCTTGCCCCGCAACATAGAGGAATGTAACAACCATGCAAGAATGAACGTGTTTTTTCTCCCCAGGGTATTCACGGTCATTTAGCCATGCATCCTTGTACGGCTATCTAAGTATGCCCCATAGCAACTTGGATGCTGCATGTTGAAGTTCATTGTGGATCAGGCATGTTGTTTTTGATATGAGTAGGTCATTGGCTCCAGGATGATTTGCAGGTGTTTCACAATTGACAGGGACATCCCCGACCAGATCATGGGATTGTGGGAATTGCCTCCAGGAGTTCTATGAATTTGTGGCCAAAGCTGGTCCCTTGCTCGGCTTGCAGGTGGTGACAAGACTGCCACATTAGATGATTTGGTTGGTGGTTTGGAACATGTTTTATTTTCCCATATATTGGGAATAATCATCCCAACTGACTAATATTTGTCAGATGGGTTGAAACCACCAACCAGTGATGTTCGTATGTGGGAGTTTTTGTAAGTAGCGATCCCCAAAACTGTAGGTTTCAAGACTTAGGATGGTATAATTTTGGATGATTTGGGGCTACCCTCATTTTAGAAACCTCCACTCCATGTATGTTGTGACAAAATTTGTTTGATAGAAAATTTGAAACTGAAGCAAACCCGTTTTTCCCACTGAAAACTGGTGATGTTCCTATGAGAGCAAATGTGATGCTCATTGATTTTCCGTTTGTTTTCCTATGAACCGATGCGGTTCTCCTAGAACAACATGGTGATTTGTTAAACTCAGGAGGTCCCAAGGTGGACCTGGTGATCAGCAGCACCACGGAAAGACAGCACCACGGCACGAAGCCAGGGTGAAGGAGTTTTGACAGCCCTATTTAATTCATGGGAATTTCACTGGATTTCATGGGGGTTTATGGGGAAATTCAGGGCAGCAAAGCATATTTTGGGCATAATCATAGAGAATATGATGGCAATACAGGGATTTACTGATGGTTTTAGCATTGGAAAGCAGGGATTTCACCGATATTGGGGATATCATTGGAAACACATGTTGATAGAACGTGTAAGGAACAAATGTGCAGGTAATGAGTATGCAACAGATCCCTCACAAAATCATGGCCTCGGATTTATCCAAAAGATACGGTGACCCACAATTGGTATTTGTACCTCACTGGGATTTGAATATATAGTAATTAAACTAATGAACCACTGCAAGTGGGGATTCAGACAAAACCCACATGGTGACAGATTTCTGGCGAATATGGCGTTCACCGGTCGGATTTCTGGCACCCTGGTGAACAGCAAAATAGCTAGATGTTCATCCCCCCAAATATTGGGATGATACAACCCAAAAGGTACAACCCAAAAGTGGAATGGGGTATATTTTTCCCCACATTGACGTGTGGGTTTTTTGTTTTTAGTTCTGTATCCGCCTCCCGCCGCCTCCCGTCCCCTCACTCACACACTCACACACTTACACACTCACTCAATCACTCACTCACTCACTCACTCACTCACACTCACTCACACTCACTCACACACTCACTCACTCACTCACCTCACACTCACACTCACACTCACACTCACACTCACACTCACACTCACACTCACACTCACTCACTCACACTCACTCACACTCACTCACACTCACTCACTCACACACACACACACTCACTCACTCACTCACTCACACTCACTCACTCACTCACTCACACACTCACTCACTCACCTCACACTCACACTCACTCACTCACTCACACACACTCACTCACACTCACACTCACTCACACACTCACTCACTCACCTCACACTCACACTCACTCACTCACACACACTCACTCACACTCGCACTCACTCACTCTCACTCACTCACACACTCACTCACTCACTCACTCACTCATGTGCATTTTGCGTGGCAGGCGTGGGACAATGTGAGCAGCCAAGGGGTCGGATGTACGTACGCCCTGGCGTCCCTCGGGCTCCGCGTCTTTTGCGTGGCAGGCATGGGCCTCCGCCGCTTTTGCGTGGCAGGCGTGGCACAACGTGAGCAGCCAAGGGGTCGGATGTACGCCCTGGCGTCCCTCGGGCTCCGCGTCTTTTGCGTGGCAGGCGTGGCACAATGTGCACTGCCAAGGGGTCGGATGCACGCCCTGGCGTCCCTCGGGCTCCGCGTCTTTTGCGTGGCAGGCGTGGGACAATGTGCACTGCCAAGGGGTCGGATGTACGCCCTGGCGTCCCTCGGGCTCCGCGTCTTTTGCGTGGCAGGCGTGGCCCTCGGGCTCCGCGTCTTTTTGTGTGGCAGGCGTGGGACAATGTGAGCAGCCAAGGGGTCGGATGTACGCCCTGGCGTCCCTCGGGCTCCGCGTCTTTTGCGTGGCAGGAGTGGGACAATGTGCACTGCCAAGGGGTCGCAGCCACCGGATTGGACGAACCGATGTGAACTGATGTTTGCTCCGCAGCAGTCAGTCGGAGACTGGTTCTGAAGCGTCTTGCTGATTTTCCTGGCTCCGCATGTTTGCGCAAGCATGCCAAGTCGCAGCCACCCGATCCAACGAAGAGATGTGAGCTTTGGCTTGTTCCGCAGCACTCAGTCGGAAACGGAACTTGAAGCGTCTTGTTGATTTGCCTTTCCGCTCCGCGCGCTTGGGACAACGTAGCTGCTCACAAAGACATTTCTCGGATTTGGTTCCTACATTTTCTGCAGTTTTGTGCAACTTCACGCAACATGTCGACTTCGCAGAAAAAAAAGCAAGGCATTTCGACATGTCTGATTGTTTGCAAGTCTAGCATGGCTTCTGGTTGCATGCTGCGTCGCCATGATTGAAAATTGCGCAAGTCTGTGATGCTCCTATGCATCTCCGTTGTCATGAGGCCACGGCCCTGGACTCGAGCGGACAGGCTCCGATGGATCACTGAGCTGGACCGTTCCAGTGTTTTCACGAGCTGGGATCTCAGTGTGATATTCTCTGTCGAGATTGTAGACATCAATCTGGTTTGGCTCACTCTTCCTCACTGACATCAATCTGGTTTGGCTCACTCTCACTCACTCTCACTCACCGTCACTCACTTTCCATGCGCTCCACCGACCGACCATGAAAGTTTTGCAGGTCTGTGGTGCTTCTTTGCATCTGCGTTTTCGTCAGGCCAGGGCCCTGGGCACTGGTGGGGGGAAGAGAGCGATAGGCTGCTGCCACATCTTGTTGCAGTCATGCGATTAGAGTTTATAACCAAAAGATGGATACAGCCTAGGATAAGAGTCTCAGTGCAAGGTACCGTCAGGACCCAGGACCGACCATGAAAGTTTTGCAGGTCTGTGATGCTTCTTTGCATCTGCGTTGTCGTCAGGCCAGGGCCCCGGGCACTGGTGGGGGGAAGAGAGCGATAGGCTGCTGCCACATCTTGTTGCAGTCATGCGATTAGAGTTTATAACCAAAAGATGGGTACAGCCTAGGATAAGAGTCTCAGTGCAAGGTACCGTCAGGACCCAGGACCCTAATCCCAGCAAGATTATGGAAGGGAGCATCAGGGCAACCCCATTATATGAGATCGTGGTACTGACTTTGTCCCATTATTTGATATCGTAGCACTGAGTTTGCCCCAGCCCACCGACCTCCGCCTCCTGCCAGGTCCGCCCGTTTATATTTTTTGGGGAGATGGCAAACCACCTTGGTTGGGGGGCCCCAAAGCACACGCCCGTCATTACATATCGATACACGTTGGTTTCGCGTCGCATCGTTGTCCTTCTTTCTGGTTCGCATGGAAATGGGACTTCGCCACCTTACCCCTCGACACATGCACATACGATACAAGGTATACGTGTCCAGGCTCCTCCTCAGGTCTTATGATTTTAAAAGGAAGTGATGGTGTACCATGGCCTTGCCATCAGCCACGGTACATCTATTGTCACTTCCTCCCAATTGAATCTATGATAACCTTCGGCCTGTAACCCCGGTTCCCCCCGATCTCTTGTTGTGGGCAGATAGGCCTCTCTCTGGACGGACGGACTTTTCTAAGTAAAAGAAAAGCAAAAACTATTTTCTGTTGCTTCTTCAAAGTGATCCCCTTTGAGATGGTCCATTGACCTTTTTTGGGATTGATCGAGTGGCCTCAAATTGATGGTTGACGAGGTCATTTTGAAGAAGCAAGTAACTAGCTATTTCCTGGAGAAGAACATCACGGCGATCACCAAGGTCATCACAGATGTGTGAAGAAAAGGGTGAGCAAGGAGAACAACAGCTACCTTGCTGTTTTGAAGCCAGGAGAAACATCTCGCCACTGCCTAGGCGAAACAGATGGACGCGTTACAGTGGCTGGCGGTGGTGTCATGTGGTTCCCACCTGTCAGCAGACAAACTCAACATGTACACGCACGAGACGTGTGACTGGCTATCTGTCTGCGAGGGTATCCACCTCCGTCCAAAACACGACGGACGACCAGGTTGTCCCCGTGCGCGCTTTGGTTCAGCTGCTGCAAGCAGTGATCGCTTCAAGCTGTTGCAGGACAATCTCGGGACTGACAAAAGTTTTAGTTAGGCTCACCATGACATTACACACTTGGTCACGTATTGTGATGCGGTGCATATCGTCGAATCATTGTCTTACAGCTATGGAATATTTCGATTTGACAGCCTTAGCGATTTGCTTACACTTAATGGGAGGCTTCACACTCACTCACACTCACTCACACTCACTCACACTCACTCACACTCGCTCACACTCGCTCACATTCACTCACTCACTCACTCACCTACCTCACCTACCTCACCTACCTCACCTACCTCACCTACCTCACCTACCTCACCTACCTCACCTACCTCACCTACCTCACCTACCTCACCACCTACCTCACCACCTACCTCACCTACCTCACCTACCTCACCTACCGCACTCACTCACTCACTCACCCACTCACTTCACTTCACTTCACTTCACTTCACTTCACTTCACTTCACTTCACTCACTTCACTCACTCTCGCATCCCTCACTCACACACACCACACTCACATCACTCACCCACACTCTCACTCACTCACTGTGCATGAACATACATACATACACACAAACTCACCCACCATCACCGCTCCATCACTCTTGTACTTCCTCTTCCCTTCTTGCTCTTCTATGGTCAGTCTAAGTCTAAAGAAGTTGGTAACATGTGGGGTTATCCGGTCCTTTATTTTTTGATATTGATACCAAGTATATCCAAATATAAGGGTTAAGTCTTTTGTTATGGGTATTATTCCTCATCGGTAAGATACAACCCAAAAGTGACATGGTTTTGTTCAGATCCACATGGAATCCAAACCAAGGGTCTGGAAGATGGATGGCCCCTAGAATGCAAAACACATTGGGGTTTTTGACATGTTATAAGTTATAGCACATTTGTTTTTCTACCACAATCCATTATACCAAGCATTTATGACTAATACTGATGCTAACTCTAAGGATCAGGTATGATTAGCCATGGTCATCGAGGTCCAGGAACCAAATGATGAGCAAACCTCGGAAGTCGGGTGGCTTTTACGGTCCCTTGGTGGTGAAAGCCGTTGTGGGTCGAATGGCCACATGAGCCCTGGGGTGTTCACACGCCTTGCTTCGTTTTTCAGGAAGCGCTGATGTTTCGACGCCCAACAGTTCACACAAAAATTTGGACCTGTTGGGTCCACCATTGGACCGTGATTTTCTCAGGATCTCATTTTTGGACTGGTTCGTGCTGCATGAAAGTTTGGGGTTTCAAGCTTCCAGCAGTTCTTTCGCTGTAATTTCCCGTGCAAAATCGCAATTTTCACATGTAAACTATCCATAAAATGTTCGCCATGTTCGAATGCATATTTCCAGAGGGTACATTTGCATAGATTTGCACTGTCTATAGTCATCTATAGTCCATAGTTTTGGGCTTTTATCCTCGATGGGTCCATGAGAACTCCACCATTTTGATGGGACCCCAAAAGTCCCATCACATCCCTTTTCTCAGGTCGTGAAAACATCCGTTTTACTGATCACAAACCATATATTTCTATTATAGTTGGTAGATGTTGGTAGTTTCAAAATATGTTGAAATCCCAATATTTTCTGGTGCTCAACCCAGTTCCAAACAACGTTGTTTGCGGCTCCTGGTCCCGTCTGGTCCCTAGGTTTCACCCGCACGCCCCAGCAATGCTTTAGTGGCGGACGTGGCAGCTTGAAGCTGCCACGGCAGGAATGGATGCCAGAGGAGTTTTTGCGCCATGTAGGAAGCTTAGGAAAGCGTGATACATGTATGGATTTATTGGTTGTAAATATGTGGTAATTATATGCAATTACATTGAACAGTACGAATTATGAATCTGTCGATCATCTCACTTGTGCATGATTTCCCTATTTTCTTGACCATTTTTGGAGCAAAATCACTCCTCCATGATGGGCCGTTCTGATTTAAATTGGGGATTCAACCGTAGATGGGGATCTATGCAATGGCTATGGGTGTCAGTCATTCCGAACCGCCAAGGGATAATTTCATAATATATATATATATCTATAATTTGTTTGTCAAAGTGGGGTGGTTTGACCAGCATGAGGATTTTCCTGATTGGCTTTTAGCAGGTCGGACCATGGAAATGGGGATCAACATCGGCCCGTATTTATACCCTGAATTTGATCAGATGAAGCAACACCTGTTTCATCAGAAATCTGACAATTGTCAGTTCCCTTTTGGATTTGTGTTCCGAAACCAATGACTCCTCCAGGACTCTTGCAATACAGTCAAAAATGACTTCTCAATTCATTCTTACTGGACTTAAGTCCACCAACTTCAGACTTTGCCATACTTCACCATATTTTACCAGAAGTTTCCAAATTTCACCATAATGTTGGCCATATAAGAACCATTTATATATATATATATATATCTTACTATCCCATCCTTTGCCCGAAGAAAAATCCAGGATGTCCTCACCTCCCTGGGCTCCAGCGCTTTTTTCGGCCGCGCGCCTGCCACGCGTCCGCCATGGACGCGTTCTCGCCGTGCCGCATCCAGACGCCGCAGAGCGCGGTGCACGCGGCGTGCAATGAGAAGGATGCGAACTCCCCCATGAAGGTACCGCCCGTTGATAGATGATAATTGTAGATGATAAATGATGATTGTTGAATCAATTTCCATATAGGGTTGTATGATGTTTTATGAATACTATATGAATACTATGTTACTATGTTACATATTACAGTATCCAATTTGGTGTATGGATTATCCAATCATGATGTGAATATACATGTCAGTTGCAGTGGAAGTTATACTATCCAATTTCTGTCGCGGATTCACGATGCATGAGCTGGGAATCCGTATGTATCAAGTGAGGAGTGAGGAGGGTTTTGAACACTGCCCACATAGCAGTGGAAAATGGGGATTTAATGGAATTGAATTACAGGATAATTAAAGGTTATATAATGTGAATCTCACCAACTTGAAATTCACCTGGCTGTTGGTTTTAGATAGGTGTATATAGATGGCCCATGAAATTGAAGAGTTCCCAATAAGCATGTTGATTATTGATGTTCCATAGCTTTGTTAAGTTGCCAGTTTTTTTGCACATTCAACCAATGGAAAATGTTGAATTAACATGATTTAACATGATTTAACATGATTTAACTATGGGAAAATCGTGATGCAATGGGGATCTAAGGCAACCCTATTTTCAGACAAACCCATAGCAACCTGCGGGATCACGGGATCGCTAGTTTTCAATAGGGAAACTCATGGGGAAAAGGATGTCCCACTCGTGCAGTGGTTTCACACTTGTGACTTTATCCCGACAAGAAACCACTGTTGGTTTTTGATTGTCAAAATCTCAGCTCTTTTTGAACAGTTGAAACGTATGGCTTTTGGATGCTTTTGGGGCTGTTGCTGCTTGCTGTTGCTGCTGGCTGTTGCTGCCGTTGCTAAAACAAAGTCGTGCTGGTCAGTGGTGGTTCCGTGTCCACATGGGGTACCAAAAAGTATGCCATGTTGACATTACCCTGTGGCAATACAACCCTGGCAAACGGCCCATGAATCCATGATGTTCCTGTATTTTCTCATTTTTTTAGAAATGTGGGATATGGTGCTCATCAATCTGCACGTAGGTCATCCCGGGTTTGCCTGAGATTGACTATCCTTCACCCGTGAGTGTGCGGAACACCTTTCTGGACACAGACATAGGTGGCGGGACACTGCGGCGGATCTATTCTGGGTGTCATCAAACATGGCTAGGAACCCCCAGAACTGAACGTTTGCTTTATTGGGAAAACCATTGAACTGAATGGAGGATTTTCGAACTAGCCATGTTGGATTACTGGAAGGTAATCTAAATCTAAGTATAATACTATAATATATTTTAATTTTTGGGGGGGTTCTATTCACGCAAGAAAACGTGGTTGCAACATGTTACAGCCCAGTGGGTAAATCCAAGAAAGGGCCTCTTGCATCCACTTTCTACTGTAAATCGTCACTCACCACTTCTATAGCATTCAGATGCGGAGCCAAGTGGGTTACTGATACCGATGTGGAAGATAGGGGATGGTTCGATCTGAGCCAGTTTTATTTTGGGGTTGCTCCTTCACTCCTAGAACTAGCTTTCACTTGAAAGTAAAGAGGATTAAGTTTGTTTTATAGTTTTATGGCAAAAAAAAAATCAAACCCATGGTGCCATCGCGCTTTAAACATGACTTCCGTCTTGAAATGGGCGTCGACTGCCACATGAAACTTTTGAAACGCTGAAGTATCTTTGCTTGTTCCAAAACAGCCCGGCCAAATTCAAGAACTCAAGGCCCCATATTTCAAGGCAACCAAATGCACCGCAAAAGGTACGGATGCAAAGAATAAGCTGGTTGGTGGTTTGGAACATTTTTAATTTTTCCATATATTGGGAATAGTAATCCCAACTGACTTCATATTTTTCAGAGGGGTTGAAACCACCAACCAGTTAGTCAATTTATCTTTCTTTCAATGGCTTCACCTGCAGGTCGCCAGCCCTCCCTGGACGAGTTCTTTCAGGAGCGCCTGCTTCACTCCGCGCCAGGGAGCGCGCTGCAGAGCAAGATGCCACTTGGTCGCCGGTGCCGTGGTGCTGGGAATCTGTGATGGTGGACCATGGTGGGCCTGAAAATGGCATTGTTCATGTGGGGAAAATCATGGAAAATGGGTGAACATGGTGATGTAGCAGTGAATTTTGGGGCAACCTACTCTTACACCCTTTTTGTTGGGCATGGGTCGATCCCTATAACAGATTTTTTGGGGGGATGAATGTCCGTAAGTAGTACTGCGGTACCGGGGATTTACCCACCCCCAGATTCCACATTGTTTTACATTCAAGATGTGTGAAAATTGATGTTTTTTCTACACCAGATTTGGGGGAGATTACTAAACCGTTGATTGATTAGGACTGATTAGGTGGCTTCCTTCGAACTATCGACAATTTGTGGCTAAAATGGTACCTCCCCAATGAAACTACCCAGGGGGTATTACTCCGGGGTTGGCATTAATTAGCTTATATATATATATATATATTGTTGCAACAGAAGCTTCTCCAAGAAGAAAAACAAAAAATGGGATGAATCATATAGAAAATATTGAATATATATAATATGTATATATATATATACATTTATACATGCAATATGTATATATATATATACATTATGTTTACATATATATATATACATATATGTATGTAATGTAATGTAATGTGATGTAATGTAATGTAAGGTAAGGTATGGTATGGTATGGTATGTATGTATGGTATGGTATGTATGTAATGTAATGTAATGTAATGTAATGTAACGCAGTGCAATGCAATGCAATGCAATGCAATGCATGGATGTATGTATGTATACGTGTGTGTGTAACATCTGGATAGATGTAAAACTTCCTTCTTTTTCTTTTTTCTTCCCTCTTCTCCCTTCTTAAAAATGCAGGGGGCATGGCAGCTGTTTCCCTAGCCATGCCAACGAAGCTATGGGATCCAGCCGGAAGGGAATGTGGACGCACATTCCTGTACCTGCATTTCTGTTCGTATGGCAAGCGGCCAAGCCTAGAACCGCACAGCTGAATTTTTACTTCACGGTTGTCGCAATCTGGTACTTAATTTCTGCTATCAACATGACGATCCCTTATCTAATTTGCACGTTACAGGATTCAGTTCCTGCCGGATCACTATAATGATCCATTCTTATCTAGTGTGATTCCTATGGTGACTCCGACATGGTGCCATAGGGCCAATTGAGGCAACCCTGTTTGGGGTGAGTGTCGACTGACTTGAAGTCCGAATTTACACATTTTAATCTGGTACTTCGTCTAAGTAAAGTGCAACAGTTGGCCTTACCGTTGTGCACCTTTTTCGAGAATTCCCGCGGCTCCGGACGTCCCAGGGACCCCAGTGATTTGCATCTCTCTCAGCGTGAAATCGTTCGGAACAACCAGAAACTTCTTTTTCGCTGCAGCTTCAATTTTTGACATATCACTTGCACAGCAACATGACAGGGCGATCAGGCAGGCACACGCTTCCAGGTGTGGTCTTCTTTCTTTTGATGGTTCTCCGGTGAGGTGAAACATATTGTGCACCTAATTCGCTGGAACTTGAAAGCCGTTTATGCCAATTGGGGCAAGACTTGGCCACGGTCCCGGCAAGGGAATAACGCACGACATCTAGGTAGTTAGGAACTGAGTCCTGTTTGACAATTTTGTTGTTTTCTTTTTTCACCAACTATAGTCCCAATTGGTCCCTAATAACCCTCCTGCTGGCTTCTCCGTAGTGTGTCGTTGGGTTTAGGTGTGTGCTCTGTTTTTGTCAGGTCCGTTTCGCCGTGTAGGTTGGTTCCAGAGGTCCGTTTGTTCCCCTCCCCCCCCTGCGCTGTTTTTGGCCGTCGGCCCATCGTGTGTCCGCTTTTTTCTTCCTCTTGCCTTTCAGGGTTTCCCCGGCTCTGCCGGGTGTGTGTGTGTGTAACATCTGGATAGATGTAAAACTTCCTTCTTTTTCTTTTCTTCCCTCTTCTCCCTTCTTAAATAATGCAGGGGGCATGGCAGCTGTTTCCCTAGCCATGCCAACGAAGCTATGGGATCCAGCCGGAAGGGAATGTGGACGCACATTCCTGTACCTGCATTTCTGTTCGTATGGCAAGCGGCCAAGCCCAGAACCGCACAGCTGAATTTTTACTTCACGGTTGTCGCAATCTGGTACTTAATTTCTGCTATCAACATGACGA